GAGAGAGAGAGAGAGAGAGAGAGAGAGAGAGAGAGAGAGAGAGAGAGAGAGAGAGAGACACTATACTCCTTAATAACTAACTTTTGAAGTATGTAATAGATCGGGATTTGAATTAAATCTAGTCAGACCAAATCTTAAGGCCTTATTTCCCTACAGAATCTTTTCCAAAACTGAGGATTATTGCATATCATATACTGTATAACCCCTGTTAATAGGTTTTTTTTCCTTGACTAGATCATGATTTTTAAATGAGGAATATTTACAGTCTGCAATGATGCTAAGTATGCTACTTTATAATATCCTTTTCTCTTAAAGTTTAAGTGTTGTGGTGGAGAAGATTATAATGACTGGTCAAAAAATCAGTATCATGATTGTTCTGCTCCAGGACCATTAGCCTGTGGAGTCCCATACTCTTGTTGTGTCTCAAATAAGGTAAAACAATGCATTATTCTCAATGAATTGGGCAGCTTTTTAAATGTTTGTCACCTTGTGTTAAATCAATAGTTTTTCTCTAAAAGCTAAGCTTGTCAACAAAAACAATAATCTGTCTATGGAAACATTCATAATGAAGATGCAGAGAAGAGCAACAAAAATATAAAGGGTCTGGAGGCTAAACGATACGATGAAGGATTGCAGGAACTAGGTAATAAGGAGGACTAAGAGAGATATGATAGTAGTCTTCAAGTACTTGAGGGGCTGTCACAGATATGAGCGAGTTGACTTATTCTCCAAGTAAGGCAGGACCAGTGGGCAGGACAAGAAGTAACATGTAGAAGATCATTAAAGAGAGATCCAACCTAGAACTAAGGAGAAATCTCCTGACAGTAACAACAATTCATCAGTGGAATGGTTTACCTCTGGAAATTGGGGGTTCTCCATTACTGGAGGTTTTCAAGAATTGGACAGCCATCTCTCTGGAATGATGTAGAGCAGTGATGGCTAACTTTTTTGGTGCCAAGCGCCCAAAACATGCGCATGAAACCCCAAAATGCAATGCGAGCGCCCCCATGCATGTGCCCTGACCCCATGCATATACCCCCGCCCCCTTGCCCATTTTTGACTTCCAGGTTGGTGCAGGAAGCTTTCCAGGACCAAAACGGGACGCGGGGGGCCTTGTGTGGCATCCCCATGCCCCATTTTGGCTTCTAGGTTGGTGCAGGAGGCCTTCCAGGCCAAAAATGGGGTGTGGGGAGCGTGTGCACCACCAAAATGCAATGCAAGCACCCCCCCCCCCAATGTGCACGCGAGCGCCCCTACATGCTTTCTATACATGCATGGCAGAGACCCGGAGACCAGCTGGCCGGGGGGATGAGCACACACATGCATGGTGGAGCTGGGCTGGGGTGATGGCCGGCATGCCTGCAGAGAGGGCTCTGCGTGCTATAGGTTCACCATACGGTTCTCCTGCTTGAGCAGGAAGTTGGACCAAAACACCTTCAAGGTCCTTCCCAACTTTGTTGTTCCATATTCTATGTTCTATCCATCAGTTTGTTTGATGTGATTTGTACATGTATATGGAGAATCAGTTTGATATAGGGTAGTAGTATTTAAAAGGCTAGGAAAACGCAAGTTATAGTGGGTGATTTTGGGTTGCTCATGCTTTCTTAGGCCAGAGAAGATGATACTGGCAGACTGGTTCCACAAATGTTGCCAAGAAAACTGCATGTAGTTGCCAGAAAACTAGATTGATTTGAAGAACTACAATAAAGATGGTATAAAATAAACAGAAATGAAACATAGTTCATGGCTATATGGAAATAGCTTTATGGGTATTAGGAGCATAGATTCTAAATACAATTTTCCTAATGAAAATTTGGGTAAATTGGATAAATCTAAAAACAAAGTAATTTGTATTAGGGGTGTTTTTTTTTTCACTGATAAAGAATTTTTTTGTCTTATTAAAAATATTTTGGAAGCTAGTGAAGAGCCAAACTTTTTTCCTTCTGCCATGTCGTTGAGGCTTATTATATGATGTAACTCTTTTTGTGACAGTCACAAATGCACTATGAAATATGGCTTTTTAAAGGCCATACAATTCTAATAATAAATTCATATCCAGAATATGTATTATTACAGTTCATGAATGGAAGTAAACCTAGGTTCAGTCATGCTAAATTTATAGTAATTTAGCTCTAGCTAATAGTTGTTGGAGGTAAACTATCTGTAATGCTCTGATACGATTATCAATAAGAAAAAAGTATACACTCTGTTATCAGATAATAACAATACCAATGTGAGGGTAATACCACTGCCTTTATGTGTTTTTTTTTCAAATGACTTCAGAAGGATAAAAAATGGCAATGTTTTTAGTTATAAAAATAACATTATAAAGACCTAAAATAATAGTCCTGGACATCTTTTCAAAGCTGTCTTGTGTTCTACCCAATTATCTGAAAGATGCCACAACACCACTCTAAAAATAAATCAAGTCAAATAAATATTAACTGTCTGACATAGTTACCAAAAGTAGCTTGGCATTTTCACTGGAAAAATACAAATTCATTTATTCCACGGTCATGGAAAAAATATAATTAATATGTGAGCTCGGCGTCTTTATTTTCATGGCATAGATAAGATCCGGATAATAGGCTTTGCCACTTTAGTGAAAATCTGTTGGGATAATGTAAACAAAAGCTTTTCAAGCCCAATAAATCTTGCCAGAATCAAAAAAAGCTAACTTTTTGCTACCTATAATAATGCACTTATCAGGCCTAGGGAAGGATGTGTCATGAGTTAAGTCCATTTATAGGGGTGTCAAACTGGCAGCCTGTGGGCCGAATGCGTTCACGTGCAGGCCACGCCTACTCTGGCTCCGTAAAGGCAAAACACGTCGCGATACACTATGTGATGTTACATAACGCAATCGAGTTTGACACACATGCGCTCGCACTGTGATGGCGAACCTATGGCACGTGTGCACAAAGCAGCATGCGGAGCCATGTTGACGGCATTGATTGTTCCTCTTCCAGGTTTATGGCATGCATGCGCACGCAATGATTAGCTGTCCTTCCTGCGTGCGGCAATGCCAGAAAGTGGAAGAGCTGGTCTTGCATTCTCCGGTAAGAGCATGCACGCTGGTCAGCTGATCATCACGCGCACATGCTTGGTTGCAAAGGTTCGCATGAAGGTTGAAAGGGTCGCATGGCTCAGGGCATCGTCATAAATATGAACCAGTTGCCATGCATCCAAATTTTGATTAAATGACCAAGGGATGCTGTAACAGTCATAAGTGTGAAAAACAGTCATAAGTCACTTTTTTCAGTGCTGCTGTAATTTTTAATTTTTAAATGAATGTTTATATGTCAAATACTATCTGTAAGAAGAGTTAATCTTGGCATTAATCTGTTTATTCAGCTGTCTGATCTGTATACTGAGAGCTAAATCTTAAAAGCCTTATGGTAATGCAGCTGTAATCCTCCCCACTCATGGCTTTGGATAGCTTATCTCTTTGACAAAAGGTTCTTCTTCTTACCAGTTCTTACACTGGTGGTTTCTTGGCTGGTGCAGCCAAGAAATTAAAAGACACTTGCTCCTGGGGAGGAAAGCTATGGCAAATCTAGACAGCATACTAAAAAGCAGAGACATCACCCTGCCAAGAAAAGTGCGTATAGTCAAGGCTATGGTTTTTAAGTTGCAATGGATGGCTGTGAAAGTTGGACCATAAGGAAGGCTGAGTGCCAAAGAATGGAGGCCTTTGAACTATGGTGCTGGAGAAGACTCCTGTGAGTCCCTTGGACTGCAAGACGATCCAACCCGTCAGTCCTAGAGGAGATCAACCCTGAAGCAGTCGATGTGAGCTTAAATGGACTCCAGAGGATGGTGGAGGACAGGAAGGCCTGGAGGAACGATGTCCATGGGATCACGATGGATCAGACACAACTTTGCAACTAACAGCAACAACAAAAGTAGCAGGGCACCCATGGGAGTAGGAAAACAAAGTCAAGGAGGTGCATGTGACTATGGAGTAGAAGGCCCACTCCTTTTGATAGGCATTGTGTAAAAAACAATGGAGATTTAATTGAATGGTTGTGGCTGCCCTTTTGGCTTTTTTTGATCTCTTGAACACTTCTGGTACCGTACAGTGGGCGGGGGAAGTGAGTGAGGGGGGCAGGGCAGGCGCTCCGTGAGGAACGGGTTCTAACCGGTACGATGGATTTGTGGAACCTCTTCTACCGAACCAGTTAGAACCGGCAGGAATCCACCCTTGTTACCGTAGTAGAAACTTTAAAATCACATTTAAGCTTGTAAACCAAAAGTTTTATGTCTTATTCATAACAAAGTAATACAGTCTAGGAAAAAATATTTAAATTTATATATATTCATTATAAATTTAAATTTATAAATTTATAATGACTATATATAAATAAATTAGACAAGCATCTTTTTTGGTACAAGTTTAGTTACTTAGAAAATAGATAGGAAAGGATTATTCGGGTACGAAGCAATTGAAATGGGTGGAAATTGTGTTTTTTAATTGATTCCCTTATTTTAGAGGGGTTAGCATTCAGAGTATAATCCCAGTGAATTTGTAACTTTCTTGTTCAACTCCTGTTATCGAATGCTCTTGTTCAAGACATATATATGAGACAACAAATCTTGAATTTTCAGAGGTATTTGGGGAAAGATTCATGGCTTAAATCTTTCATAAGCTGTTTTCAAGAAAAATAGTGGTCTAATGAAACCAAGTTTGTGAAGGAAAATGGTTGAATGACCAAATATATACAGTAAATCAACAAACTGAAATGTATATTTAAACAAGCATAGATGTCAAAGTCATGCTTGAGCATTTAGATAATAATACATTTTATCCCATTTACAATGAATTCTAATAATTTGGATGCATGGAGGTTCATTTGTGCTCCCAAATACTTCCTCTTGAGATTCTATAAACCTAATAAAATTATTAAGAAAGCTATTAAAATTATTTAAAAAGATATTTAAAAACTTGGCAGAACTAGATAGTGATTTTTCACTTTTTAGTGTTTTTGTTTGCTATTTGAAATGAACAAAAATGTTTTTCGTACAAGTGAATATTTTTTAATAAAACTATAATAATATACATACTGGGTTTTAACTTTTTACTTTAGAAAAAGTAAAAAAAAAATGATTATGTTACAATTTTTATATCAAATTCTAAAACAAGCTATGTAAATCTCTTCATGTTACATTATAAGTAAATATATTTATATGTGTTTTTTTTCCACAGACAACAGTCATTAATACCATGTGTGGATATAAAATGATTAATGAAGAGGTAGGGAAGTGAAATATTATATATAAATATATTAAATTTAGCATTTTATAGTCAAAGCTTTCCCAGAGGTAACACATGGCTGTGAGAGTTGGACCATAAGAAAGCCTGAGTGCTGAAGAATTGATGCTTTTGAATTGCAGTTGGAGAAGATTCTTTGAGAGTCCCATGGACTGCAAGGAGATCAAATCAATCAAAGGAAATCAACCCTAAAGGTCCTTTGGAAAGCAGATACTGAAGCTGAAGCGCAGATACTCTGGTCCTACCGTCCATGGGATGTGACAGCAGATAGACCGATAAAACAATTTTATGATAAATACCCTGATAAGCCAAAGGGTCCCCCTGGTGGGGCTGGAGAGATGGTTAGGGTTTTAATTTTAACCCCCTGTGTTCACCTCATTACAGGACATGATCTTCTCATGGGGCGGGGGG